GGGGGGGGGGGGGGGGGGGGGGGGGGGGGGGGGGGGATGTAACACCCCCCAAAAATTCAAATGTTGGTCAAAATGGAACTGGTATTTGCTCAAAGTTGGTCAAAATGGAACTGATATTTGCTTAAAATTGAAGGTCAAAGTCGGTAAATTGTGGTGAAAAATTGGCAAGCCTTGCTTATTTTGGTCGAAAATTTTTTAAATATGCTTATATTAGTATGGAAAGATTTCTAGCCCCCACCATCGACAACATTTCCGGGAAAATTTTTTATGACTTGGTCAAAATTCTATTAAATGTTGGTCAAAACATGACGACCCCCCCCCCCAATGTTGATGCCTTAGGGACGTCCTGGGGCCATTACAGCACACATAATGCGGTAGTCATTTGAAATCACGCCCCCCCCCACCAACGGGACATAGCGGGGAATTTAACATAACCAAGTGTTAAAAAACATTAAATCCCCCGCCCCTGGGGCAAACTGGTCTGTTAAAAACCCCCGTACGGCCGGGCTTTAGTATACCTAAACAACACAAATTCCGCATCATGCATGCATTTGAATTACCTGTCTTCCGCAACTTCCATTGATTGACAATGTCTGGTCAAGCATATCAAAATATCGATATGAAAATGTAAATAAATATGCAAATATAAAATGTAAACAATGCCAAATAATATAAATAATAATATCCAAACAATGGAAAAGGCGATGCCTGATACTTATTGAATATTAACAGCAGCGGATGGCTCAGGATTAAGTATAAAATATAAACTTTCAAACGCACGTACCTGTTGAGGAAGTTTTTTACATTTTCGTTTTTACGACCCTATGCGGTCATTTTAAGTACCCAGTTATCCCCGGTGTATTTATATATAGCGGCTGTTAAATCCCGGGTCATTTCCCCGGTTATAAAAAAGTTGTTAATTCTACCGCCCTCAGGGGCATAGCACGTTGTTAAATAGCATTAGATCCCCGCTAAATTTTGTTAATTCCCCGCTATGTCCCGGGGGTGGGGGGCGGGCGTGATTTCAAATGACTGAAGCATAACCAACACAATACGGCGCCACAGTTGGCCATGACCATGCTTGTATTTTACCCTAGAAAGGCTCACTTTTCAAAAAGCTATTTAACTATATACACTTATGCCCCTATAAAAACTTTATTAAAACTTTCAGAATTTTTCGTGGAATATACCTTTTTTGCCCTCTTTCTTTCCCTCCTTCCCTGCCCTTTCCCTCCTTTCTTCCTCTTTAGGGTCATTTTCTTCCCCCATGGCCCTGACATATTCCCCCCAAAGGGGGGGGGGGATGGTAAATATATTATATATTTGTATAAATCATAAGAGCTTCCATTTACAGTGAATAGCTTCAAACATTGCTTCGAACATTGCTTTGAACGATGATTCACAACATAATTTATTATTGTTCAAATATGGCGAATCAATTGACAAAACGAAAATATTACATGGCATTCCAACAGGCATTATGATGTTTTATTCATATTTATAATACGTTTAATATGTTTTATTCATATTCATACCACAAGCTCTTAGTTGGACCCCAGTGGTTGTTGTTGTCAATACAAAATCTTAAAAAGTTTTATTTATGTAC